GGGTTGAGCTATGGGGCTCCACCAAGCGTTCAAATTCCTCTCGCATACAGTCCTCGCAATCCAAAATCCTTCGTAAAATCCTCAATGCTCCTTACTTTGTTACAAATAAAATTATCCATAATGACCTTAATGTTCCTTATGTATCAGATTTGGCCCAATCCAGATATCGTTCCTTCCATAATAAACTTCATAACCTTCCCAACCCTCTTTTCTCTAACCTTGCTTCCTATTCGATTCCTGATAACCCTCCGAGGCGTCTGAAAAGAAGATGGCCACGTGATCTTCTAATATAGACATATTATTAGAGTGCTACTAATGGGTAGTTTCTCAACATGTGTTCCATGTCTTTATACCAATGTGCAAATTTACTAGATGTATTTTTTGTATACAGTTGTAAATATCATTTAAAATAAATAAAATAAAAAAAATGTTTGCAATTTAACATTTTGTTTTATATATTTACTGATTCTTAGAGGTAATTTAAATTGTATATACTTCCCCGAAAATGAGTCATATTAATATCTGTTTTATAAACTAAAATAATATATACCTAATCAGAACTACTTTTAATGAATAGGTGATGGATTGTTTAGTAAAATTCATATATCGCTATTAAAAAATCATTTTTATTTCCTTAATTTTATTCGGAAGTTGGACCATATCATAAAAAATATGAACTTATAACATTAAATGCATTATTCCCTCTGCACAAAAAAAATATGGAAAGGGCGAAGCTATAAGTTGTTCTAGGTAACTGGAACTGATTGTTAGTATTTGGTCTCAAAAAGAGGGAAAACGCGAAATTGAACCCAAACATTGGAAAAATACATTAAGCGAACGACAAAGGAAGTGCCAAAATTTCGGAAAATGAAAACAAATATCAGTATCCGTTATATGGCTAAACGAATATATAGTAGACAAATGAACAGAATATTTCAAGATGAAATGAATGAAATGAAATGAAAAAAATGTTTTATTATTCTGGGACTGTTGTCCCTTAAGAACAAAATATGAATACAGATTATATGTCTGTGTGGCTACAATTGAATTGTATATTTACAATGAAAGTTGACTTACGATAAAAATACAGAAAAGAGAAAAAAAAGAACAAGTAAATTGTACATATGTATGAGAAACTAAAATAACCTTAATAAATTGAGGTACTCTCTGGTGGTGCTCAGATATTTCTCTGAGATATATTTCACAATCATTCGGATTGAGAAAGGAGTAGGTGCTTAAAGAGGAGTGGTTTAAACGAGGAAACTGATTGAGCGTGTCGAATATCAGGTGGGATGGAATTCCAGAGGGAGGCGGCTTGTATTGCAAAGGATTTGTCAAACGCAGCAGTTCGGTGAGGAGGAGGATAGAGGTCGGAAGTACGAGATCTGGTGGGACGGGATTGGATGGAATATTTGAATTGTAAGCTGTGAAAAATGTAGGAGGGTCGATGGGTTCTAATAATTTGGTACAGAAAGGTGGCTAGGAAGTACTGACGGCGATAGGATGGGTAGAGCCACCTCAACTCAGTGTAATACTGGGTAATATGCGTATCCCTTGAGATTCCGAAAACAAATCGTAGTGCGCAATTCATTAGGCGTTTAAGTTTGGCCTCGGAATCTCCCGGGAGTCCACCGTACACCATACAGCCGTAGTCGAAGTGGGGGAAAACAAGGGAGGAAACTAGGAGTTGACGGGACTTATATGGAAGGAGATATCGTAGACGATTGAACTGTTTTAGGGTGGAGATAGTGCGACGGGAAATTTGGGAGATGTGAGGTTTCCAGGATAGGGATTGATCGAAAGTAACACCTAGGTTTTTAACGGTGGTGTAGAATAAGATAGGTGAGTTGTTCAGGAAGAGATTGGGAGATACTGGGGAGGATTTGAGGAGTGAAGGGGATCCGATCAAGATGGCTTTTGTCTTCTCGGCGTTCAGAGTGAGCCTATTGAGGTTTGCCCAAGCACTTATTCTGTCAATATCTTCCTGAAGTTTTTGAGTGGCATCTGAGATATCTGTCGGATTAAAGGAGAGGTAAATTTGAATGTCGTCGGCATACAGGTGGTAATGACAGTGCAGGATAGAGGATGGGAGGTCATTTATATAGATGGAGAAAAGGGTGGGGGATAAGGAAGAGCCTTGTGGGACGCCTCTGGTCAGAGGTAGAGATTCTGATGGTGGGTTATTAGGAATTACAACGTACTGGGAGCGACCGGTTAGGAAGGATTGGAACCAATTAAGGGAACTAGAAGAAAAAGAGATATTTTTAAGTTTGGTTAGGAGGATGTTGTGGTCTACTGAATCAAAAGCTTTGGAGAAGTCTAGGAGAATAAGGATGGTTAGTTTCTGCTGATCTATGGCTGTGTGAAGGTCTTGGGAAATTTTGATTAGGGCAGACTGAGTAGAATAACCAGGCCTGAATCCAGACTGGTAGGGATTTAGGAGATTATTGTCCTCTAAAAAATGGGATAGCTGGGATTGGACTAACCGCTCTAATGGTTTTGAGAGGTTTGAAAGGAGGGAAATCGGTCGGAAATCATTAGGAACTGATGGGTTTGAAGTCTTCTTCAATGGGCGTACTAGGGCGGTTTTCCAGGATGTAGGGAAGGTAGCATTTTGAAGAGAATAATTGTATATATGATAAAGGATCGGAAGAATGGATGGCAATGCGGCTTTAATCAGTCTGACTGGGATGTTGTCGGGACCGTAATCATTGGTATGGGACTTCTGAATGGATTTAAGGAGCTCATCTGGTGTAATATGGGAAAGAAAGAAGTGATCAGGATTAAAGGAAGAGAACATAGGAGCCAGACTGGACGTGGGAGATGTGGATGCAAGAGGACAGGAGACAAAGTGAGCGTTGAGGTTATCAGCAGAAACGGAATTGGACTGAGACTGGGGTGTATTACCAATGGTCAGTTTTCTAAGAATAGCCCACGTAGCCTTGGTATTGGGAGAGTTGGATAGGGAATGATGGTAGTAACGGGATTTAGCACGGCGTACTGCTGATTGAGTGCTATTTCGAAGCTGTTTGTAGGAGAGAAAATCATCAGGAAGTCGAGTTCGTTTAAACCGTCGCCTTGCAGCATCTCTTTCTCTCATACACTCCCTCAAAGCAGGGGTAAGCCAAGGAGCTGGAGGATATCGGATGGTTTTTGTGATAAGAGGAGCATGTCGGTCGAGGATAGAGTGAAGTTGAGTGGTTAGGATTTCTACCATGGTGTCTATGGATTTTGAGGAGTAGATGGGATCCCACTGGATATCGTCAAGACCTTCTGACAATGTTTCGTGAGTGAGATAATCTAGGTTTCGGAAGGATATTGTTCGGGGAGAAAAGGATGGAACAGGGACATTGTAAGAGATCTGGACAAGATCGTGGGAAGATAGAAACGGAACCGGGTGCTGAGATGCGGCAAGGAGTTTGTCTGAGGAATCCAGGATAATTAGATCGAGCCAGGACTCTGAATACTGAGTATGATGGGTTGGATTGTAGGGTACTATGTAAAGGCTGAGAGAATTAAAGAGGTTTGTTAGGTAGGAATAATCAGAGGATGGTGCCAGTAAATTGGTGTTAAAGTCACCGGAGAGGATGATGTTTGAGTAGGAAGGGATTAAGTTGTACAATAAAGTCTCAAGTGATTCATCGAAAGGAATTCTAGGAGGGCGATATATGACAGCAAACAGAATGGCAGATGAGGTGGTGAGGATTTCGGCGAAAAGGTATTCAACGTGCGGAGAATCGGTTATGGAAGAGCAGTGAAGAATTTTGGATTTGAGACTGTCATGGACAAAGAGACCTACTCCACCACCCGTGCGATCTACTCTGTCATGACGAAGGAGAGTATAGTTAGGTAGAAGGATCTGGGAGGACGGGATTGTGGGTTTCAACCAGGTTTCGGATACGGCAATTAAATGGTAGAAGTTATGGAGAAAAAAGTCGTAAAATTCATCAAAATGGGCTAAGAGTGACTGAGCGTTGACGTGGCAGGTTAGAAGGATATTAGTCATGGAAGAAGGAGGGGTGGCTTGGTAAACGGACAGAAGGAGTTAAGGATAGGAATATTTCTACAGCAGCTAGAGCCAATTGTGTGCAAGATCTCCTAGATATTAATAAGGATGGTAAACAAAAAATATAAAATTTAGTTAACGAAAAGCATATTCCTATTGTGCAAAAGAAAAAAAATACACAAATTAGAGTTTCTGGACAGATCAGACCTAAAATATTCTCATAAACAAAAATGAAATTATTATCATAGTCTATTATTAAAACAAACGCAACAAAAACATAAAACTGGGGATATAAAAAAGTAAAAACAAAATTGTTCAAAGTGTTGTAACATGTATATGCATGTCAAGCAAACGTTTCTAAATCTGATGGTGAGTTGATGACGACGACCTGCTGTCCATCGTCTCGTCGACATTTCACCTTGCCTGCGCTAAACCAACTGTACCTGATTTTTCCTGCAGACCTCTTTTGCCGGGCCAGCCAGTACAGGTGTCTGTTGGTTACGGACATAGCTTCGCTCAGGTAGATCTTGTGGGCGTCATTTTCTTGCCATCCGAGGTGACGTGTTGAAAAATCCCTAATGACTTTTCGCCTCTGGATCAACTCATCCCTAAGCGACTGCCGGACGAACCTTACCACAAGCGGCCCAGGTGTATCGTCTTGCCTGTTTCTTATCCGTTCTGCATAGTCAATGTCCTCCACCTTTAGACTAAGGCCCAGGCCCGCCCCCACGCTCATAACCAGGCCCATCGGGGTCTCTCCAGATCTCACTGGGACTCCTCTTATTTCTATTGACCTGGAAAGGTGCAGTTGCTCACTTTTATTGAGCCTGATTTCGAGCTCCGAGACCCGAGACTTGAGAGTCGTGTTTTCCAAGACCAGTCCGTCAATCTTGGAATTTTGAGCCTCCAGTAGTGACTCTATAGAGTCTAATTTCGCCGCATTCTCAAAAGTTATGGATGCTTGCTTTTCGAGAGATATTTTTAATTCTTTCACCTCGTTAGCATTGGCATCGAGGGAGAATTTTAATCCCTTGACCTCTTCTGTTAAATTTTTAATGGCAGCAAGTAACAGTTGTGACGTGCTGTCGACAGTTTGTTGTTGTGGCGCCGATCTTGGCGGGCTGAGACACTTGTCTGTCGGTTGGATATTTTTCCGTGCCTTTTCACATTTCGGGCATTCCCAATTTTTTCGTAATGCCCTCAGTGCTTCAAACTCACTCTCGTCTGCGTTTAGACATTTTCCATGGAAAATGGCTTGACATGTTGGGACAGTGCATGCCATTGTTTTTTTTTTCTTCTCTTGCTATGGTCTGTTTACAGATTGGGCATAAAACCATCTTGATAAGCGAGAGAAAAGAAGAAAGAGAAAAAAAAAATTACGTAAGTAACGTGGTAAAAAAATTGACGTTATCCCAACCTCGTCACTGGAAACACTGAGATATCTAGTACCTAGTCCTATTTATGCGCATGCGCTCCCCACCTATATTCTTATCTAGAATGCCTGCAATAAATACCTTAAGCCGACTAAAATTATGATTTTTCCTTTCTTCTTCTGACGTGAAACGGCGTTGTATTGAAGAATCTTTCCTGTCTGTGGATATAACACGATTAATAGTTGGTTCTAACCAAAAATTATGACCGAACTCCTTCTAAAAACTGCGAAAATCACTAACTATAAACTGACTGAACTTTTATCATACGCTCTGAACTGAGGTCTAGACCACACTGACTGCTAGTGTGGCGGTCAAAAGATGCTGCTAAAAGGGGGTCAAAATGCTTGATCAGTTTGGATGATATTAAGCAGGTTTATTATGGTGAAGACCACTTTATCAGCAAGAAAGATTTGTTCTAAGCAATTGGCAAGCAGAATCGTAGAAGCTAAAATAAGAAATATTGTCGATTGTCTGAGCGATATGGATTGAGAAACTCAAGTTGCACATTGGAACATAAGTTGCAAATTAGGACTGTCTTCACTTTAAGGTAGGTTATATAGAAGTCCACAGAGAATGAAAAATGGTTCTCTATCTGCTTAGTGCCTCACACTTTGGATTGATCTAATATCTACTAGTCCTGCTAGACCTGCTTGCCAATCGCTTATTTTGCCAATTCATTTTCCGAAATGTTGGCACTTCCTTTGTCGTTCGCTTAATGTATTTTTCCAATGTTTGGGTTCAATTTCGCGTTTTCCCTCTTTTTGAGACCAAATACTAACAATCAGTTCCAGTTACCTAGAACAACTTATAGCTTCGCCCTTTCCATATTTTTTTTGTGCAGAGGGAATAATGCATTTAATGTTATAAGTTCATATTTTTTATGATATGGCCCAACTTCCGAATAAAATTAAGGAAATAAAAATGATTTTTTTAATAGCGATATATGAATTTTACTAAACAATCCATCACCTATTCATTAAAAGTAGTTCTGATTAGGTATATATTATTTTAGTTTATAAAACAGATATTAATATGACTCATTTTCGGGGAAGTATATACAATTTAAATTACCTCTAAGAATCAGTAAATATATAAAACAAAATGTTAAATTGCAAATATTAAATAAAAAAATCAAGATATTCTGCAAATTATTTTTGAATTAAGTTTTATTATTATAATTATATAATTTTTATAATAGAGGCTTTCTTAAGCGACCTCCGTATAGAATAAAGGAAGCTAAATTAAAAAAAAAATGATAATATAAAAAAAAAAAAAAAATTTTTAAAATATTTTTTTTTTTGACAATTAAATTATTGTATTAATATTTATTCGTTAATACAATCAATATAATATAACAAAAACGTTATTATAGCACTATAACTAAGCCATTTATGAGTACTAAGTGGTGTGGTAGTAGCGCTTTTCTGCCGCTTAAGTACATTTTCTACGGAACTACTTCAAATATTTTAAAAAGTAATCATTGTTTTAGAAAGAGAAATGTATTCTCCAGATGTTTTATTTCAGCACGTTTTGCATTATTGTTGACCGTTTAATTACAAACGACGCCTGATTTTCAACTTGAAAATTTTTTTTTTAAAAAATTGACTTTACCGATTTTTTTTAATGCCTAAGCCAATTAGTTTTTAATAACTTGATGTATTTATGTAATACAGTTGTAAATGTTATAAAGAAAAAAAAAGTATGAAATATTTGCATATATGTCTAACAGTAATTTATAAGGAGAATTCTAATAGGTATTTGTAATTGTAATAGCATAATTTCTATGAGGCGATCATAGTTAGGTTTATTGACACTTAAGGTAGCCAAATAATGGTAAACCCCTAGAGTCAGCATTTTTCTCCTGGCTCTGTATAATACCCCTCCCTTACCTACCTAGCAATTAGTCAGACATTGTCACTCATAGTAGATAGGTAGATGCCATAGATAGTGTAGTTGTTGTATGATGTATATTTTGTTCATTGTAAACATTTTTGCCACATAAACTTTTTTTTTTTAAGTCCGAGTGAGTATCCAAGATTTAATTGGCGCCCGAACGTAGGGGCCTGTGTTAACTTGAAGAAAAAAGAATGAAGAAATTACCTTAAAGTAACAGCTCTAATTGTCAGGTCAAGAATATTCGCAGAAATAGTCATTGGACAACAGAGTCTGGAACTGGCTGCTTCAAGGTGTGTTCAATACTTAAAACACACCTTCAAGAACTCCACATAGGTTCAAGAACTTACATTGGATTGGAGATAATTTGGAAGGACTTAAAGAATACTTGAGGTACAAATCAGTATTCATTTTTTTTATTGTTTTTTTTTTGCGTAACAATTTAAGTTTTGAAATTTATATAATTTCTTGCTATTAAAATTAAGACATAGTAATTTAACAATATATAAACCAAAAATGTCTGATTCAGAACTAGAAATTGAACAAACACAACATCTTCAACAACCACAACAACATCAACAACAAATACCGCAACAACCACAAATGATTACTTATAAAATGGCTGCTATGGATTATGACCATATTCAAGATTTTTACGGTGACTAAAGACGTTTATGAATTTTTATCTGAGCTTAGGGATGTTTTTCATTATGTTTGTAAGGCTAATAATACTTTAGCGCCAGAAAATCATGCAGCCCTTCTAAATAAATTAAAATAAAATAATAAGGGGAAACGAAAAATCACATCCGAACTCAACACTTCGTGAATTTAGATGAACTACTAATTTGTTTCATAAATAACTATAGGGACCAGAAGACAATATGTCAACTAGACCATGAAGTTATATCTATGCGTCCATATAAGTACGAAAATCCTATAGAATTCTATAGAAAATAGAGGTTACAATAAATACTAAAATGACAGGCATAGATATGAAAAAAAAAAAAACACTGCCAAAACGAGGGTAGATATAGAGATTATAAGCCACAAGCATGGCATGAAAAAAATAATTGGAGACAAAATGACAAATCACATAATGAACAATTCCCCTCAAGACCGTTTAAACCAGATTCACAAAATACGGTTTCCATGAAATCAGTGACATCTTTTCATGAAAGATGTTTTCAAGATAATTCGACTAAAGAATTACTTGAAAAAAAAAATATAAAAAGATGTAGATGAAATAAAAACCAAGTTAGATGTTTTTTTTTAGAACTTGGCGAGGCTTCCCAAATACAAGTTAAATTTATTAAACAATAAAATCCTACAAACTACCCACTTTCCTCTCTTATGGAAACATCCTGTCATCATCTTTTTTCTGAAACCAAGTAAACCTTCTAATAACACAACTTCCTATAGACCAATAAGCCTACTTCAGTTCCTTTCAAAAATCTTTGAAAAGATTCTACTGAAACGTATCCTACGCATTATAGAATTCCAAAACCTTCCTACCCACCAATTCGGGTTTCGTTCCCAACATTCCACGGTCCAACAAGGCCCCCGAGTTGTTGACCATATATCCTCAGCCCTAGAAAGCAAGCAATATTGCTCGGGTGCATTTCTGGACATTGCGTAAGCATTTGACCGAGTATGGCACACCGGATTGCTCTTCAAGCTAATACTCCGATCCTACCTCTCTGACCGCTCCTTTCAATTTCACTGTGGTACTGAATTCTCCGACTATCATTTAATGGAGGCGGGAGTTCAGCAGGGCAGCGTCTTGGGTCCAACCCTTTACATTCTTTTCACCGCAGATATTCCCTTCCATCCTGATACCCTCCTGGCAACATTTGCTGATGATACCGCTATCCACCATCCAGCTTCCTTTCTCAAATACAGTCAGGTACATTGGTTTTGGACAGACGACTAACGTGGAACCCCTAGACTTAAATATAGGAACTAAACTGACGATACGGCCAACTATATAGACCACTCAATAGAAAATGTCAACTTTCAGTTGAGAACAAACTATTAATCTACAAGGCAATCTTGCAACCTATCTGGACCCACGGACTCGAACTGTGGGGAACAGCGAAACTTTCTAACATCAAACGCATTCAATCCTTCCAGTCTAAAGTTCTTCGAACAATAGTCGATGCTCCCTTTTATGTAACCAATAAAACCCTACACAATGACCTTAATATCCCATTTGTACTTGACCTAATCCCAGACAAATTTTCCAAATTTCACCAGAATCTCACCCATCATCCTAATCCTGTAGCACAGTCTCTATCTACCTCCAGTCATCCCTACAATCCTCCTCGGAGGTTAAAACGGTAGTGGCCCCGCGACCTTTTGTAAAAATGTATATATTGGAGTACTGGCACTGGCCAGATTCTTCACTTATGTCCTGAGTCCTGAGCGTCTGTTGCTCTAGCGCCCTCTATCAGTCTCCACTGGCTTACTATATATATATATATATATATATATATATATATATATATATATATATATATATACTATATATATTACTATATTATTACTTACTATATATATATATATATATATGTATATATTTTTTTTTCTTTCTTTTTTTCCCTTTCTTATGTACATATTGGGTGAATGAATACTATAGCCCTAGTACCAATGCCCTTCAGTGTGACAGACTCTATTAATACTCAATAAAATAAAAAAAAACAAAAAAAATAAAAAGAATGCCTACTTTACGGACAAACACGGCAAGGAATGGTTTATTGACACCGGAGCAGAAATCAATTGTATAAATCCTAATTCTTTACCCGAGGGAATTAAAATACAATCGGAAGAGTTCATTATTTCAACAACAGCCGCCAACAAGAGAGGTCATGGAAATATAACCTTAGATATAGGACCGAAGCTTTGGTTGAAAGATGAAATATTAGTTACATTTAAAATAAATGATTTTTGCGAATTCTAT